AGTCCTGAGAGAGGGAATCCCAGGCACCTCACTGGTGCAGCTCCTGCCTCGGCTGGCGGGGAAAGGAGGGCCCACCTCACCACCCCAAGATCCAAGAAGTGCATGGGCTGCGGGCACTGCGTGCACCCTGGACGGTGGGAAAGCCTCCGTGGAGGTGCCGTTGAGCTTTTGGGGTAGGGCTTTGTCGGGCACGGGAGCAGGAAGGTTCAGCTGGAGGGAGCAGTCAGGATCTGGAGGTGGGAGAGTGCTTGGGGTGTATGGCTGAGCAACCCTCTCCCCACCTTCTCAGTGGGCCACGTACATCCGCGCCACAGTGCGCAAAGAGCGCGGGCTGCCGGTGCTTGTGGAACTGCTGCAGTCTGAGACCGACAAGGTGGTGCGCGCCGTCGCCATTGCCCTGCGCAACCTCTCGCTGGACCGGCGCAACAAAGATCTTATCGGTGAGGACGCCTGCAAAGCCACGCCTGGACACCGAACTATGCCTGCAGCTCTAGTCCCATGGGAGGGGGTTGGAGGATGAGTGGTTTGGGAGTCCAGGCCCCGCCCCTGTTGTTTGGGCGCTGGCCCACCTTAGGCAGCTCCAGTCCCCCTGGCCCTGTCTCTGAAGCTCAGCACCCTGCTCGCATGGTTCCTTGTGGCGGTCTCCAGGTCCTGGCAGCGCCCCTAGCCCTCGCGGGATCCCTGCTCATTCCTGGAGGGGTGGGGCAGAGGCGTGTCCTGACACCTAGCCCTGCCCTTCAGGGAGCTACGCCATGGCCGAGCTTGTGCGGAATGTGCGCAATGCACAGGCTCCGCCGCGACCTGGGGCCCGCCTGGAGGAAGACACCGTGGTGGCGGTGCTCAACACCATCCACGAAATCGTGTCCGACAGCCTGGATAACACGCGCTCGCTCCTGCAGGCACGTGGGGTGCCAGCGTTGGTGGCTCTCGTCGCCTCCAGGTGTGGAGGGGAGGGGTCGGTGGTTTGGGAAGCAGGGGATGTGGGGGAGGGGCCACCACTGACCCCGCCCTTGGCCCCCGCAGCCAATCTGTACGCGAGGCGAAGGCGGCGTCGCACGTGTTGCAGACAGTGTGGAGCTACAAAGAGCTGCGTGGTACTCTGCAGAAAGATGGCTGGACCAAGGCGCGCTTCCAGGTGCGGCTTCCTTGGCCTTCCCTGCTCACTTCGCCTTATTCCCACTCCATGTGCTTCACCCACCCTGTGTCTGTGTTTTATGTCTCAGTCGGCTGCTGCTACTGCCAAGGGGCCTAAGGGAGCACCGAGTCCTGGGGGCTTCGATGACAGCACGCTGCCACTGGTGGACAAGAGCCTTGGTGAGTGGTGGAGGTTAGGGGGCCTAGAGGGTGGGGACCCCAGCTGCCCGACCCTTGGGTGAAGGTGAAGGAGGAGCCACACCTCCCGTGGAGACGGCTTCCATAGGCCACTTTCCCTGCCCTCTGCCTCTTGGCCACTCCCCACGGCATCCACGCTGCTGTCAAGCTCAGGGTGGGGCTTCCAACTGGCAGAGGTTAGGCACCTTAGTGACAGGGAGCCTCTAGGGCTACCTGGGGCTTCTGTGCCCCGATCCCCCCTGGCCGCTGTGTACAGCCTGCCTCCTCCTCCTGCCTTGCAGAGGACGAGAAAACTGGCAGCCGGGATGTGATCCCCATGGACGCGCTTGGTCCAGGTGAGTGCAGACGCAGTGTGGTTTGTTTTCTGTGCCGGGAGGGGACCAGAGCCTGAGGCGGGCCTGCTGGTTTTATGGGGTGTAGTTGGTGCTGGGTGGAGAAGAGAGATTTGGTTAAGGGGTGCTCAGAGAGTGAGGTACAGGGCAGCTAGAGAGGGGTTAGTGCCCAGCCAGGAGCTCTGGCCCACAAGTGGAGGGGAGTCTGGAGAGTTGGAGCTGCCATGGGGCAGGCAAGGGTTGCACCAGCGTGAGGCAGGGTGTTGGTGAAAGCTGGCAGCAGCCCGGATCTCGAGGACAGGGTGGGTGGGGGCCATCTCCCAAAGCCACTGTCCCACGAGTGCCCTGTGTCTGGGCTGAGAGGAAGATCTGCTCCTACAGGACCCCCCTCAGAGCGCCCCTCATGTCCCACTTTATTCCATCTACAGACGGATACTCCACGGTGGACCGGAGGGAGCGAAGGCCGCGGGGCATTGGCTCTGCCGGAGAGGCCTCTGAGAAGGAACCATTGAAAGTAAGTGTCATGTGACTGTGGGCAGGTACCCCGTGGGGCTCTGTGTCTAGGGGTTGCTGGAGAACAGCCTAGGCCATGCTGGGTCTGGTCTGGGCCCTGGGGTATAGCTGGGTTGTGGGCCCAAGCCCAGGAAGCAGCCCTTTCGTGCCAGTCAGTCTGTGGGTACTGATGAGTTTGCAGCTCCCACCTGCTGGGGACAGCACTGCCCGGCCACACCCTGCATGGGCCGGAGCCTTTGAGCTAGTGTGTGTGCACCCTTCTGTGCATGTGTGTGCGAGGGCCCGCCAGGATCCACCGGCGAGGGCAGGACCTGTCGCCTGCTGTGTGCCAATCCCCCAGCTTCCTGTGCAGGCCTCTGTGTGTGCACGTGCCCCCCCATCCCGGCCCGTGTGAGCCACACTTGTCTGGCTCCCTGTGCCCTTGGTGCTCCCTGTGCTGTCCTGGCAGGCCCACCCTTACATCGCCAGCCTCGGCCCTGCCCCTGCCCTGTCCCCCCAGGAGCTCTGACTAACCTGCTCTGTTGTGCCTTTAATGCCCACCCGTGCGCTGCAGCTCGATCCCAGCAGGAAGGCCCCTCCCCCAGGGCCCAGCAGGCCCGCGGTCAGGCTGGTGGACGCCGTGGGGGACGCTAAGCCTCAGCCCGTTGACTCCTGGGTCTAGCTTGCATGCCTGGTACGTTCTCTCATCTGGTTGTTTGTCCAAACGTTTCTGCCCTCTGGGCCAGGGCCTCTTGTTGGTCTCCGCTGCCTGCATGCTCTGCTCTTCCCGCACGTTCCCCACAGGACTTTGGCTTCCAGTCCAGCAGCCCAGTGGCCCATTCCCAGGGGAGGCCAGGCAGAAGTCAGAGAGGGAGGGTGCTCCCTGGGCCCACAGCCTCGTCTCAGGCACTGTGGGATCAGGGGACTGAGGAGATGGGACCAGAGTAGGGATGGGCACCATACCCTCCAATGCCCTTTGAGGACCAGCAAGTCAGGATCAGTCCTGACCCCAAGGGTCAGCTCACACCACTCAGGGCAGATGCTTCTGTCCACATCTCCATCCATGTAGCCTGTGGAGTTGGCCGCCCTGCCTTGAGGTTGTACGTGGTCCTGTGCCACTCTGGCTGCAGCGTCCACCATCCTCTCTCCCTCTGCAGGGCCCAGGCCCAGCCTCTTGTTCTTAGGGCTTGGATCGTGGAAGAAGGGCCACCCTGAGCAGATCCTGCCGTGGAGCTTGGAGCCCCCTGGCGGCAGGGGTTGGCAGCGCCTCACCCCAGCCAAGCCTGACTTTGGGGACACCTTCCTGCCCCCCACCCTACCTAACTCCCTAGGCCTGAGTTAGCTGTTTACTGACATGGTGCTGTGTGTGAGCGAGTGACAGAAGGCCCAAGGAGGCCGACTGGGCTGCTAGGGCAGGGCCCAGGGAGGTGGCAGGGAAGGGTGCCTGGCTGGGCTTTGGGGCCGGTGGGATAGGAGGGTGCCCCTGGGAACACAGTGCCCCAGAGGTGCGGGAAGGCTTGGTGCCAGGGGCAGGTGGCTAGGCAGGGAGGGGGCTGGGAAAGAACTTGGACTCCTAAAGGTGGAGGGGCTCCCTGGGCACCCTGCAGGCAGGCAGACCAGTGTCAGGGGTGCCCCACAAGGCCCAGCCCTGGGCAAGGAAGCTTTGGAAGCAGCAAGGTGGGGGTCAGGCTACAGGTGCCCCACCTCCCCAGAGCCCTGCAGTCATGTGAGGCCCCTGTGCAGTAGAGAGCCGTTGTCCAGCTGATGCTGGCCGGGGCCGGGGCCGCCGCATCTGCCTGGAGCCTGGGCAGCACCTCCAGGACTGACCTTCGGCAGTGGCTTGGGGACTGCTTTCAGTGCCTGCTGTTTGTGACTCAGAAGAAAAACACTGAGAAAACGCATTAAAAATAAGCCAAAATAAGACTGTATTGGTAAACATCTAAATTTTTGTAAGAAAATTTAAAAATTAAAGCAGCAAAGGAACTTTTTGCTTTCTGCCACTCAGGTCTGGCACAAGTGGCTGGCTCCTCCCTTGTGTCAGGGCCTCCGCGCGTCTGGGGCAGGGCCCTGGGTGGAGGTGGTCCCAGGTGTCCATCTGCTGTGTCCTGCAGAGGCTGTTTCTGACCCTTGGGTGGCCCCAGGCTTGTCCATTTGGGCTCACTGGTCTCTCTATCCATAGGAGTGGGCTGGCTAGGGGCTAGCCAGGCCTTGAGCCCAGGAGTGGAGTCTTGGCTAGGGGCTGGTCTGGGTGCAGGTGGACTCAGCACAGGGTTGAGCTGTCCTGGGCCTGGGAACTGGGCCCTTGGAGCCTTTGTGGTGGCCAGTAGTCTGACCCCTTGGAGGAGCTGAGGGCAGCTCTGGGTGTAGGTGGACACAAACCAGCACTGCATCCTCATTCACGGGCTAGGGGGGGCAACTGCAGGGATGTGGGGGCTGATCTGAGCCATTGCCTCTTCTGTAGGCAAGGCCCAGTGGGAGTGGGGAAGGAGACGCTTCCACTCCATGCCACATGGGGCCCAGAGGAGCTGGTGCTGCTGCGGGGTCCACCTCTCCCCAGCGCCTGCTTGGTCAGACAAGTGTGAATGCTGGCTGACTCCTCTGTTCGTTTCCCAGGCCGGCAGTCATCCCCATGGGGCTAACAGGTGCCCCTGGCCTAGCTGCAGGAGGCTGACCTCTGCACCACTGTGGCTGGGAGGCCTGTGGGCCAGGCATGCCACCCAGAACCCAGCCAGCCAGGGTCCCGCCCTTAGCGTTAGCGTCCATCAAGGGGAGCTTTGAATGTTAGGTGCCCAAGTCAAGGGCAGCAGGAGAATGGCTGTCAAGAAGGATGTACTAAGTTGATTTATATCTAGAGTCTTAATTTCTATTTTATATTTTTAAAACATGTATTAGTATGTAAGATAATATAGCTAGCGGGTGTTAGTAAAGAGGTCACAATTGAGTCTTAAAAAAGGAGAGCAATCCAATGCCGCCGTTCAGAGAGGTCAGCATGGCAGGGCGCAGGCCTCGGCCGAGGTGTGCTTTGCATTTAGGATACAACCCAGAGCCGCAGAAGGTCAGCAGGAGCACATCTGTGGCACCCTCAGAACCAGGCTGGGTGAGGGAGCCTGAGTGCGGGGCCGGGGGGGCGGCAGTCAGGGCTGTGCTTCGCTGCCTGGGCCCTTATAGATGGCCTTCTCCAGGCCGTCCACCACCTTCCTGTATTCCAGGAATGACTGGTAGTGTGTGCACTCAAAGCGGCTGCTCCTGCGCACGTGTGCCAGGAAGTCTGGTGCACCTGGGCAGATCACGTTGTCAGCCAGTAGCACTGTCCCCTTCCTCAGCAGGCCACATTCCTGCAAACAGACCAGGGGGTGGGGGAGGTGAGGGTCATAGGTGCTCAGAAAACCGGGCCCAAACCAGGATGGGTGCTCCTCACCAGGCCACTGTACCACGCCTGTGCCTAGCCCCTAGGGCCAGGTTTCCGCTTTCTGCCCAGCATGACTCCTGCAGGACAGGACTGTACAAGACTTGGGTGCCACCTCTAGAACATAGGCCCCGTGAAGACAGGGACCTTTCTCATCAACTCCTGTATTCATCTCAGGCGTATCCATCCCTTAGAACAGCATGTGGTACACAGTAGGTGCTCAATAAATGTTAGCTGGGTGAGTGGAAACAGTGGGGCCCTCAACACCTAGTGCCAGGAACTCAGGCCTATGAGGGAGAGGCACCAGTATGGTCCCTGGAGACAATATTGGCCTGACCAGGGTGACCCTGCAGGGCTGGGGTGGGGCAGACCTCCCACCACCAAGTCTGCCCCTTGGAGTCAGTTCTGAACATCCCCAAGCTCCTGCATTTGCAGACCCCCCATCTCCACCGGTGCCTGGGCCCTGGGAGGACACAGAGTTCCTCTGCCTGGGTTCTGTGCAAAAGGAAGGAGTTGTTGACAACGCAGCCACAGGGCATGGCCCGTGGGGTCCACTATCAGGAGAAACTTCATAGAATGCTTGCCTATCAAAGCTGCAAGGAGGGTTTGCTTACATCACATAAACAATAAAGAAACCTTGAGAGGAAGTGTTTTTCTTTGGAGAGGAAGGACCCACCAGGGCAAGGGACACCCCAGTCATCTTGTCGTGGAGATCTGACTTAGTCACCAAGCAAAAGTTAACAAGCAATCTCAAACATCTAACGTATAGTAAAATCAGTTCGCAGGCAGGTGCCTTGAAACACTGGCATCCGACCCCACATCCCTCTGGGATGCGCCTAGAGAGTCCCACAGGGCTTGCAGCTGTCCCGGTGGTGGGTGGCGGTCATTTCCAGCCCGTGTGCTGCAGAGAAAGCAGAGGGGCTTTCACGTGACAGTATGGACACCACATGGTTGCAAGGTCAGTGAGGTCAGGGGACAGCCCCAAGGTCCGGAGTTGAACAGGAAGTACCACCATGAATCATGATGTGTTTACATTTAGACCAAAAAAAAAAAAAAGAATGTCCTAGCAATGTCAGCTGAAAAGACCTAGAACAAAGTGCCACCCAGGAGGAAGACAATGGCCTAGGCCCTGAGCAGGGTGGCTGCCTTCCGGCCCCGGCCAGGGAATACACAAGATGAGTGAGGGGCCTGGGCTCCTGGACTTCTCGGGTTGCGCCAGGGGACTCAGGAGCCCAATCTGGTCATCAGGGATACAGATGACGTCAGCAGACTGAAAGACACCAGACCACTGCAACTGCACGAGTTAAACAGGAAAGGAGAAGGGAAGGGCAGAAAGGAGCATGGCTCACCTTTGGAAGCTGCCAGGGGCCCACTCCTTTACAAAACTGGTCAAGAGGGGAAAGAAAGCAGCACCTGTCCTGCCTGTCCCCCGACACTGCAAGCCTCCTACCAGCTACTCAGACCCTCTGGAGAACTGGCTAAACGTGCAGCAGCATCTGAGCAGCACTGAAAACCTAATGCCATGGAGAAGTGACAGTGTCAGAGGAGCAGGTGACACTCTGCTGAGGTGGTTTTCAACTGTGCCTACCCTCCTTAGACTCTCCTCCCTTCAAGAGTTGGAGCCTCACAGAAGTTGCAGGGAGCCAAGATCGTGCCACTGCACTCCAGCCTGGGCGACAGAACAAGACTCTGTCTCAAAAAACAACAACAAAGTTGGAGCCACACACCTGTACTCCTAGCACTTTGGGAGGCTGAGGCAAGAGGGTCCCTTGAGGCCAGGAGTTTGAGACCAGTCTGGGCAACATAGGGAGACCCCATTTCTACAAAAAAAATTTTAAATTAGCCGGTGTAGTGGTGCATGTCTGTAGTCCCAGCTACTCAGGAGGCTGAGGTGGGAGGATCACTTGAGCTCAGGAGTTCGAGGCTACAGTGAGCTATGATGGCATCACTGCACTCCAGCCTGGGCACAGAGCAAGACCCTGTCCTTTTTTTTTTTTTAAGGGGGAACTCATTCCTGTTCCTTCGGGTGTGGGCTGGACTTGGTGACTATGGCAGCCCGGTGGAGAGACCTCCTCAAAGCAGCCCTTGATTTTGAATTGCAACCTGCTCCTGAGCCCCTCACTCCCCATGCCTCCAATGC